ACTTATTAATTGACCCAGAGAAAGTACTAATACCTGGGGTGGCCAACAGCTGTGCATACCTCTCTATCAGTGACATACAGGGCAAACCCTGTATAAGCTTTATACAGGGTAAAATGGATTTATTTGGGGTTTGGACCCCATTGGGAGTTGGGTAACTGAATGCTAGAGACAGGAACACTTCTTAAGCTGTTTTCAGTTAAGCCTGCAGCTTTTGGGGGATGTGGTTCAGACCTGGGTCTGCGTTTGTAGCAAGCTAGCATGTCTGGCACAACCAGGCAGGGCACTGAGGTCCCAAATGGCCAGGGAAAACGGGCTCAGAGGTAGTCTCAGCACATCAGGTGGCAGTTCCCAAGGGGGTTTCTGTGATCCAACTCGTCACACTGGGGCTCAGCAGATTCTCAGCACCTCAAAAGATCAAGTTCTTTGCCAGTTCGCTCATGTTGCTTAATGAAGCAGATTGTTATAGGCAAAAGTGTTTCATATTTTCATAAAATCATCATGATCCTATTTTCATTATCATGAGCACTATTTTTTCTCTGTTGGCCTTGATTACTTCCACGGGCATCAAAATACATCTTCATCTGATTGTGGGATGTATGAGTAATGTGAGGATGCCTTTCTTTCACAATCTGAAGCACAATATGTAAGAGTTTGTTGGATGAAAAACACAATCCATGCCAGTTACTAACCCTAACTAGTTTGAAGCTTTAATAAGAAAGTTTTAGGACAATATACTGCCACCTCAATCAAGCAGAAAGCATAAGTAAAGCAGATAGAGCAGGATAGCGTAATGATCCAGTCCTGGGGCGCAGGTAGGCTGTTTCTGTTATCATCAGATCCATGCTGGTCCAATCTGGTGTAAGTTCTGTGCTGCTCCACACCCCCTTTGTTAAACACACATCCTGTATACCTTTTCTTGTAACATGATTCAGGTGCAGATTATTAAAACTGCCTCATCTATTAATATTCTATTCTAAATATATTGTCATATACACTGACCCAAAATCCTTTTAACTGTTGCATTTTTACTTATTCTGCTAAAACTCTAATTGGTACCTCCTTCACTATCTTTTTTTAAGCTCCTCCTACTTACACAATCCAGCTGTCTTTTCATTGCCTTCATGTATTTCATTGTTTCTTATGTTTGTCTTATTCTATCTTATCTGCTTATTGTGGCTTTGGGATTACTTGTTGGCTAGCTCCTTTCAGTCAGTGTTCATCCTCCCTAGTCTGTTTTACTAGGCAGGTCTACATCTGGCTAGAAAATCACACATTTGTCTGGTTTGCTTTGCCCTGTTATGTACACCGGGGTGGCCAACCTGAGCCTGAGAAGGAGCCAGAATTTACCAACGTACATTGGCTCTTTGGCACAGTAATACATCAGCAGCCCCCCATCAGCTCTCTCCCTCCCTCTCCCCCATTCCCAGTGCCTCCCACCCACCGGCATCCCTGCAGATCAGCACCTCCCTCTCCCTCCCCGCACCTCCCAATCAGCTGTTTCATGACATGCAGGAGGCTCTGGGGGAGAGGGGCGGGAGGAGCGAGGGCATGGCAGGCTCAGGGGAGGGGGCAGAAAGGGGTGGAGTGGGGGCAGGGCCTATGGCAGAACCAGGGGTTGAGCAGTGAGCACCCCCCGGCACATTGGAAAGTTGGCACCTGTAGCTCCAGCCCCGGAGTCGGTGCCTATACAAGGAGCCACATATTAACTTCTGAAGAGCCGCATGTGGCTCCGGAGCCACAGGATGGCCACCCTTGATCTACACAGACCAAGAGTCCAGGGTAGATAGGACACAAACCAACTTTTTGATTTTTTACAACCTTTGAAAGCTGTGTCAACAAGGCACATTCAGAAAGCAAAAATGTTCCCTTTTAAATTGTCTTATAACACTGTTAAATAGATATCTACTTCTCTAATGTTATTTAATATAGTTTTTATAACACAGTTCATTATACCTATCTTTACAAGCTCATTGCATAATGATAACGTTTTGCTGAAATGAAATTTCTTCATTATGAACCTGAGGTTTGTTTCCAGTGTGTAAGCCTTGAATTGAAGTTAATATATTCCATAACATTTAGAACTTCAAATATAACACTGTAAAGTGAGTTTTCATTTAATTTTTAGAACACAAAAAAAAAAAGTAATGCACTTCAGGCAATTGGATTACACTAGACAGGACAGTTCATTAGAATGTTGAAAGAACTTTGCTTGTTGTGTGGAAGCCTAACAATGCTTTCACATTATATATTTTAGTTCATTTTGGGGCTCCAGTCCCAATAAGTGAAGGACCCTGTATCTCAGGTTGTTTTCTTTTTTGTTGACCCAGTGCATCAGTGCCATGGTGGTTCAGCATGTCTTCTCCTTGGTAAACCATTAATGTAGAGCAGTGATTTTCAACCTTTTTTCATTTGCAGACCCCTAAAAAAATTTTAATGGAGGCACGAACCCCTTTGTAAATCTTAGGCATAGTCCTCAGACCCCCAGGGGTCCATGAGCCACAGGTTGAAAACCACTGGTCTAGAGGAAGAAAGGAAGTTGGATGCGTTTGAAAATGTATCAAATGTAGCAATCTACAAGATTCATGAGTGTCCATCAGACATTAAAGGACCTTAGTTGGCTAAGTGTCCCTAAGGAACTTATATGGACCCTGTATCAGCAGAGACTCAGAGTAATAGGATGGGCTCCTTTGGTCTGCTTTTATGCCATTTTTGAAGTGATTTGTTTCCGATAGTACTACATCAAAGTCCCCAGAACAGCTTGTAGCTTTAACTCTCACAGTATATGGATGCACCAGACCAGTGGTGATGGACTGTGATTTCCAAGTTACAGCATTTCCTCAATCTCAGACACGTCTGTTCAGCAGGGATTTTTGTCATCTAATAGGCAGAGATGATTGGTTGTTCAGATTTTTTTTTTTAAGTTGACATTGTCTGAGTTTGTGTCCATGTGATTTAGCTGTTAATTTAAATTTTTGTGTGAAGATGGGTGCTTAATAAATCATTCAATAAACAAAACAATTACCTTAGCATCTCTTAACTTAATTTTATATTACTTTTTGAATTGCGTCACTATCTTTGTATGAAGCCAAAACAGTAAACAGAAGTGAAATATATATATATACACACACACACAGTATAAGTACATGTACATACTTTCTAAAATTGCACTAAAGGTCTGATTTTAAAAAGTTGTCTCTATTTTTGCACCTACAAATAACTGTAGATATAAATGCTCCTGTTAAATGTCAGACTACCTGATTTCACTCTCACTTAGATGTCTGTAGTGGGCACTTTTCTTTGCAGATGCTAAACTGTGTTTGCAAAATTGGAAGCAATTTTAAAAATCTGTCCCTAAAGACCTGCTCCCACAGAAGTTAATGGGATCTTTGCCATTGACATAACTGAGTCTGTAAGGGTAAAATTTATCCCTGTGCAGGGGGCTGGAACAAGGCCTACATCTTGCTCGAATCATCAAAATAAGACTGAAATGATGCATAGACCTTGTCCTGGCCCTCCAATCATGGATGAACACCTTGACTGAGGATTTCAGGGTTGCGTTACTTAGCTGCCTTAAACCTGGAGCAATATAAAAGGAAGAAGTACAATTATTCATTTGAGTGTATTCTGCATAAAATGTTTTGATTGTATGATAATACAGCCTTAAAACTGCAGAGTCATTCAAAGTACTGTGCAGGGTCAGGAGAAAAAGAATATAGCTTGCTAAGTGTTCCTCATAACTGCAGAAAAATAAGTGAAATTAGTTTGCAAGTGAAACACTTCCTTCAGTTTAGGAGGTTGTAAATATTTTAAGCCACAAAGGACTTAAGTAACCTTACCATATTTTACAAAATAAGATTGTTGGAAGGAAGCTGTCATTCCCTTATAAAGCAGGGCAAAAAGATTGATACTTCATAAAAACATAAATGAAATATGTATATTCTTAAATAGTGTATGTCATCATTTAAAAAAATTACTCAGGATAAAAATACTAATTTAGCCATCAACTCCAACTTGTATCTCAAAGCTAGAAATATTTTCTTTTGGAATCAAATGAATGACAAAGATAATAAAGTAATAAAGTATTGCATACCAGGCAAAGTATGTGCTTTTAATAAAGACAAACCTCCTGAGTGCTAGAATATACTGTAGGATCAGATAAGCATTTCAGTCTATGTAGACAGTATAGATATAATTAGATTTGAGCTGCAAATAGTCTACATCTCTCATGTGGATTCTCTTTTTAATGTAATGTAAATATTGTAATGTCCAAAAAATTGATTCTCTCCATTCATCATCTTTATGAAAATTGTATCTTATCACAAGAGACCATCATGAGATTTTTCCTAAGTGATATAGCACTGGGCTATTCTATAAAAATGATATGAATGTGGGAGTGAGAGTATGAATCATATCTCTGCTTGACTGCACTTGGTAATGGTTTATCAGCTCCATACCCTCTCGACTGATTAAGAGCTAATAAAGTGAACACTTCTTTGTGTGAATAGTAATGTTACGTTTCCTTTGTACGAAATATTAAACATACTCATGTCTCATTAATGCCTGTGTACTGAACTGGAAAAAAACTTTTTGTAAAGAAGAAAATCAGAATCTCTAGCTCAACGGTTCTCAGACTTTTTTTTATAGGGTGGCCCACATACTCATAAAGAGATGAATCGTGTGTCTACCCCCTCCCAGTCAGGATTGCACGAAGCACATTAAGATGGCTCCTATTTCCTGACCCTATTAGAGGTAGGTAGAATGGCTCCTCCTCCTTGTTCCCAGCTTCTCCACTAGGAAGAGCTTGGACACCTGTAGAATGAGCTGGAAAAAAGGAGGAGCCAGCACCGCAGGCTGTGCTACCTCCACCAATCACATATTGGGAACTGTGTCCAAGCTACTCTGGCCTTAGGAAAACGGAAGGGACAACTATTTCAAAAGAAAACTTGTTGAAAATATGATTGTTGATACAACTTTAAGTGTGATATTTTTTTCCCTTACAGGATTACGTACTGCCATCTTCCTTTCCAAAGTAAATGGCTCTACGTTGGAACAGAGAGGGGAAATACACATATTGTAAATATTGAGTCCTTCATTCTTTCTGGATACGTTATCATGTGGAACAAGGCAATAGAACTGTAAGTGTGGACTTTTCTATCACTTTCACATTGCTGGCCGTTCTTTTCAGACCAATCACTAGAATGATTTTATAGTCTCCTGTTTTAAGGAACATTTTGGTGCAGTACTGATTGTGATTCATTGTGAGAATTTTTCAAGGAAATTCAGTTTCTAGGTATATTGTAGTGATAGTATATATTGGTTTAAAAAGAGATATTTGTTTCGGACCCTATGTCATTAACCGAATAAATATATTTGCTTGAAATATTAAATAAAATACAGACAGTCATGGATTCCACAAACTCAGTAAACATCCTCTGGACCTAACTTTTTCATTGAACATACGGATTGGCAAAATGTGATCACCAGATCCTCTAGCCCAGTGGTTTTCAACTTATTTTCATTTGCGGATCCCAAAAAAATTTCAAATGGAGGTGTGGGCCCCTTTGGAAATCTTCAACATAGTCTGCAGATCCCAAGTGGTCTGTGGACCACAAGTTGAAAACCACGGCTCTAGATTAAGGCCACAACCTGAAAAGATGAATGGCGCCTATTGGACTACACAGTTGCTGGAGAATTTTTCCCCCCCGGTCCAAGTTGTAGGGGAGGTCATAGCCAGAATGTATTGTCCATGACCATGGATGCTACGGCTTCTAAATGCCATCCCCCTCAGAGGTTACCTCAGTTTACCTATGAAGTTTGTGAAATGGAGAGAGGGTGTGATGCATTCTTGGGGTGCCCTGGACTGTGGGGTCACTTTGTTACCCTCCCTATCTCCAGTGAGAGAGGGAGCCTTGCTGGTGCTTAACTGGATGTCATCTTCCTGACAACACCAGCCTGTTAGCCACCCAAACAATCTCCTCAGGACAATGTTAGCGCTCACTTTGCAGGTTAACAGTTGGTGCACCCCAAATCCCAAACTCCTTTGAAGCATTCCCCAGTGATATCAAGCTCCTGTCACTGGCTACTCACAGAAATACCAGGATTTCTATCCCCAAAGGAACGTGTACACATTAGCTTGTTTGATTCAACTGAGGATCACTTCCTATATAACATCACAGCACATCTATAGTGAAAACAATCAAAAGATTATTATCAAAGGTTAAGATTTAAGAGATAGTGAGTAAGAATAATAATGAAACACAGAAAAGTTACATATAAAGCAAAATTATAACACGCTTCCCAGAATCTACCCTAAACAGGTTAAACCCTTGTCTAAAGTAGTTTCTCTCATCTCCCAGCATCTCCAACCAACATGGCTGGCATCCCTCTTTTATGAATGCTAAAGCACTATCTTGGTGAAGGATAAAGAGGGGTCCTTCTGCCTGCTCCTTATATCCCCCAAAATTCATTATTTTGTCTCCAGAGGTCAGGATGACCACCTGAGGGTTATTCCCTGGTGTGCTGACTTCATGGTGACTTTATTTCCTCATGTTGACTTTGTATGCATTATCTTTTCTTACAATGCTTAATTTAATATGAACCGATGTAGGCAGGTGAACATACATCCTCTGTCTGGTAGAAACCTGTTTGTCAACCCTGCCTTGGAGGCGCACTGCACCGGCCCGCCGCCGCCTTTGCAGCCTGAGAGAATGGGCGCCAGAAGCTCCCTAGAAGTGGGAGGGGCCCACCGGTGCTTGGACCATGGCCCTGCCCCTTTCCTGAGTGCAGCTCACTCCTCTCCACCTCCTTTCCGCCACCATCACTCACCTTTAAGGCAGGAAAAAAGCGAGAGGCAGAAGCTGTAATCTCTAAAGGACTCTTTCTCCATTGGTGGTGAATGCTACAGGTCCTGCCTCTCACTGGCTGGCCCAGCTGTAGGACTCCTCCTCCTGTGTGCTGATGCTGGAGCAACTTAGCTTTATATCTTCAGGGGCGGCAGAATGGGCAGGGGAGGAGTCAGGGAACTGTGGCCCCATCAATTTTAAAAGTGGGAAGGCTGTGCCCTCCCACTTTTTACCAGCCGTGAGTGGATGGAGAGGAGCGAGTGGTGGGTGGGGCCTTGGGGAAAGAGGTGGAGAGGGGCAGGGCTTTGGGGTTGGGCACAGCATGGGCGGGGCCATGGGAGGAGATGAGGTGCCGGGGAGCAGGGCCGTGATCCAGGCACCGGTGGCCAGTGTTCCCTCTAATTTTTTACGTTCATGTGCGGAATTAATTGTGTTACGTGCACCAGTATGGAGGTGATGTGTGACACATCACCTTCATATTGGTGACGTAACAAAATTTATGTGGTGAGGGTGGGCCGAGGGGTTTGGAGTGTGGGAGGGGGCTCAGGGCTGGGGCAGAGGGTTGGGGTGTGGGGGAATGAGGGCTCTGGCTGGGGGTGTGGGTTCTGGGCTGGGACCAGGGATGAGGGGTTTGGGGTGTAGGCTGCCCCGGGGCTGTGGTGGGGAGAGATGACTTCCCCCAGCCCCGAGCTGCTGCGGGCCATGGCAGCTCTGGCAGAGCTGGACTGGGCTGGGCCGAGGGAGGGGCTCCTCTCCCTTGGCTGAGGCAGGTCCGCACTGGGGCCAGCAGTGAGGGATTCTTCTCCCCGCCGTTGCAGGTCCACGCTGGAGCTGTCGGGGATGGGCGCCTCTCCTCGCCACAGCCCTGAGCCCCTGCGTGGGGTTTAATGGGCAACTGTGCGGCTATGCAGCCACGCAGCTTAGAGGGAACTTAGCTGGTGGCCCCCCGCTTCTAGGGCGTTTCCGGCACTCCTGGGCATATCCTCCCCAGACAAAAGACTCAGGTGCTGCCTATGGGATGGGACAGATCTTTCACCTTTCTCATAGATTCATAGACTTTAAGGCCAGAAGGGACCATCATGATCATCTAGTCTGACTAGTTTATAACTGCAAGTGACCCGTGCCTCAGGCTGCAGAGAAAGGCAAAAAGTCCCAAGGGTCTCTGCCAATATGATCTGGGGGAAATTCCTTCCTGACCCCATATATGGCGGTCAGTTGGACCATGAGCATCTCAGCAAGACCCACCACCCGCCAGACACCTGGGAAAGAATTCTCTGTAGTGATTTAGAGACCTCCCCATCTAGTGTCCCATCACCAGCTGTTGGAGATATTTGCTGCTAGCAGTGACAAGTGGGCTACATGCCACTGTAGGCAGTCTCATCATTACCAGCCCCTCCATAAATGTATCAAGCTCCGTCTTGAAGCCAGTTAGGTTTTTTGCCCGAACTGTTCCCTGTGGAAGGCTGTTCCAGAACTTCATTCCTCTGATGGTTAGAAACCTTTGTCTAATTTCAAGCCTAAATTTGTTGATGATAAGTTTATATCCATTTGTTCTTGTGTCAGCATTGGCACTTAACTTAACTATCTCCCACCCTGGTATTTATCCCTCTGATGTATTTATAAAGAGCAACCATTTCTCCCCTCAGCCTTAGCTTGGTTAGGCCAAACAAGCCAAACTCTTTGAGTCTCCTCTCATAAGGTAGGTTTGTCATTCCTCAGATCATCCTAGTAGCCCTTCTCTGCACCTGTTCCAGTTTGAATTCATCTTTCTTAAACATGGGAGACTAGAAATGCAGATGGTATTCCAGATGAGGTCTCACCAGTGCCTTGTATAATGGTAATAACACTTCCCTATTCTACGGGAAATATCTCGCCTTATGCATTCTAGGATTGTATTAGCTTTTGTGATGGCTCCATCACATAGTCATCCTGTGATCAATCAACATGCCCAGGTCTTTCTCCTCCTCCGTCACTTCCAACTGTAAGTCCCCGGCCTATAGCAAAAATTCTTGTTGTTAGTTCCTAAGTGCATGACCTTGAAATTTACACTATTAAATTTCATTCAATTTCTATTACTCCAGTTTTCAAGATCATTCAGATCTTCTTGTATTATACTTCGGTCCTCCTCTGTATTGGCAATACCTCCCAACTTTGTGTCATCTGCAAATTTTATTAGTACAATCCCACTTTTTGTGCCAAGGTCATTAATAAAAATGTTAACTAAGATTGGTCCCAAAACCGAACCCTGAGGAACTCCACTAGCAGTCCCCCTCCACCCTCATAGTTCACGTGTCAGTATGACTCACTGTAGTCTCCCCTTTAACCAGTTCCTTACCCAACTTTCAATTCTCATATTAATCCCCATCTTCTCCAATTTAACTAATGGTTTCCCATGTGGAAGAGTATCAAATGCCTTCCTGAAATCCAGGTAAATTAGATCTACTGCATAGCCCTTGTCCAAAAAATCAGTTATCTTCCAAAGAAAGAGATCAGGTTGGTCTGGCATGAAACACCTTTTGAAAAACCATGTTATATTTTATCCCAATTACCATTTATTTCTATGTCCTTAATTATTTTCCTCTTTCAAAATTTGTCCCAAGACCTTACATGCCATTAAAGTCAAACGAACATGCCTGTAGTTTCCCAGAGCACTTTTTTCCCTTTCTTAAAAATAGGTACTATATTAGCAATTCTCCAGTCATGGGGCACAACCCCCAAGTTTATAGCTTCATTAAAAATCATTGCACAATCAGTCCGATGCTTCTCCTCAGGTAGGGCTGTGGGTAAGAAGCCACAGTCTAATCCTTAATTGTACATTCATACCAATAGGAAAGTCAGATTTCCTGAATAAGGAATGCAGGATTGGTAGTAATGCTAGTGCCTTAGCCTGATAAATATCTTGACATTTCTAAAATGAAATAATATATATAAACAGAAATAAGTACAATATTTCTGGGAACCTTAGAAAGAGAGGTAAGAGCAATTAGGAACTGTTTTTGAGAAAAACAGCAAAATGCATGTAGCAATTGAAAGATTGAGAAGCCTTCTGAATATTTACTGGAGAGAAAATGAAATAGAAACGTTTTAGACTGAAGGAAGATTAGATAGATAATCTAGCTTCTGTCTTTTAAGGGAGAAGTGACAGGTGAATTGTGTTGCATAAGGGAATAAAATAATATATTTAAATAATGGCTTAAAGACCTGCTAAAATGGTAACATCTAGAGTGCAATAGGACCCTGAAATCATCAGGGAAAATAAGTGTGTTACTTTACTATAACTGAATGAGATAATTGCATTCCAGATAGCAACGGCTGGGTCAACTTCTCATCTTATTCTTATGCATTGACTGGGGTTTGTGCATGTGCATGTATTCAAATCTGGCAGAGTTAACTAATAAAAAAACGCAGGTATCTTAATACTAGAATTAAAACATTGCTGTGGATTATGGACTCATCTGCCCTCAGATTTTTAAATCATTTTGCAACTTTGGAGTTCTTTTAACTCCTCATTGCTAGTGGATGCCTGGACCCACATCCATCTGCAACTGGCAGAATATTGCCTCCCATCCTGTGGAACTCAGACCAGACCACACTGATTCTTGCATTTATGATCTCTAAATATTCACTGGGCCAGAGACAGAGAGAAAATGACCCTATAGCCTGGTGATTAGAGCCCTCACCTGAGAGGTTGGAGACCAAGGGTCCAGTCCCCCTGCTCTAATGACTCCTTAATTTAAAAACATGCTACAGCTTCAACTGGAGACATTGAGGGCGCTCCCCATATTTGAATATCCCATGGCTAAGGTACTCACCTTATCAGGCAGAGGGAAGGCTTCAATCAGGGGATCTCCTGTATCCCACCTTAACCACTGAGCTAAATGTTTTGAGAGAAGTGCTCCTCTTGGCTGTTTTGTGTGGAGCTAGGTGGCCTATGAGCACATCTACCAGATTGGGCCCCACAGGTGAGACAGGCGGAGGAGCACCAATCTTTCCCTAATTGGTGGATCACCCTGGGGGCTTAGGCATCTGAGCACCTAGAGCGAGGCAGCCATGCACATGCCCAGAGGCCGTGCACATGCCCTAAAGGGCTAGGCAGCAACTGAGTGGAAGTTTTGTAAATGCCAGTGATTCCTAAATCTGGGATTTAAAATGAGTTAAATCCCATAGTGACTCTAGCCCTACATGGTTAGTATTTATTTTAATTACGTTTAATGGTGAAAATGCACTAAAAGCTTAAGTAATGGTTGCATAATATAAACATAATATCACAGAGAACAATAATGACAAGTCATTCAATGTTATGTGGAAATACATATGGCACAGGATCCATTTAGGGCATAGAGTGAGTCCATGGTGCACACAGGAAATGCTGAAAGGTTAGATTTAAAGAGTTTTCTTATTTTTGGTGTCTTGATCATTTTTAGAGAAATCTTCCTAAAATATAGTCTAAGTAATACATTTAGTCATTTTGCTTAAAAACGTTTGCTTATGCAGATTATGTGTTGCTTAATTCACAGAGATGGTTGTAACAATTTATAAGATGGCCTCTATTGTGGTGGGGAGAGGGGGAATATAATACCTTCCAAGTAAGAATACATTGAACCTAATTTTCGTCACATTTGCACAGGTTTTTCAGAGAAGTAACTGGTGACTTCAGTTGAGATACTTTTGACTTACAATTATATAAATAAGAGGAGAATCAAGCCCCTAGGCTCCATAGTCAAAGAAGGCAGTAAGAATATCTGTTCCCATCACCTCTGAAAACCATCCCTATGCAGGGAAAAAAAATCTGATAGCAACCCTGAAAAAAACTCTCAAGTGCTTAAAATAATTTTAGAAAGTAAAATAGATATTTAGATTTTGAAGAAGAGCCTTTCTCGCTGCATGACAAAGATAGCAATATGGCAACCAAAGTGGAGAAAGAGGAAATAGATAAGGCCCTCCCTACAGCCAGTACAAGCAGATACCAATGCATTATTACCTGAAATAAAAGATCTGCAAACTGATATTCATACTATATTAACAGGGATTGAAGAAGAGATTGCTGCTATGGGGGAAGAGTTGCTTGTTATGGAAAAATGGGTTGGTAAGATTCAGTTACATATTTGCCAGACTAAAATAATAAAGCTGGAGCAAAATGAAAGTGGTCTGCCAAATAAAATGGATAGTAATAACAGAGCGAGGCTAACATCTTGTCTACCCAGGGACATCCAGGAAATTTGATCCGAATTAACTACAGGTATGATTTTGAAGTGGATTAGTTAAATCACATTAAATCCCTGTGTGGATGCTGTTGTTCAGCATTAAAGTGGCCTTAATTAAGTTTAGTTTAAAGTCACTTTGGAAGTGAATTAAAATACACCGAAATAAGGTCACTTTAATTCTGAATGAGGGTGTTCACTCATCGTGTAATTAGACATAATATAGTATGAAAGCATCACTCATAACAATTTAGATCCATTTATATGTGTGCAGAATGTATGCTTTCATATGCAAAAATAGGGTTTTTTAATGGCTGTTACGCACATGTATCTAAATTGTTCCTGGGCTTCAAACTTACCATGTGTTAGAAAGGTTAACCGGAATTTATAGTACAGTACATGATTCTACATAAGGAGTAAGGTCTTTTGTTGTTGATTGTGTGCAAATATCCTCCTCCATGGCAATTTTCCAAACAGTTTTGGGTTGCCTTGTCTCTAACATACCTAACATAAATCTCCTTTTTTATTGAAAGAATTAACATTGCTTTGAATTGATTTTGTTTTTCAGATCCACAAAGACTCACCCTGGCCCAGTTGTACACCTAAGTGATAGCCCAAGAGATGAGGGGAAAGTGAGTGCAGTAACTAATGATGTAAAATATTTTAATTATGTAAATATTTTAACATTTCATAGCTCTCCCTGACGTTAGCAGTTTTTCTTTTTCACTCATTCACTACTTAATCACTTGCCTCCATTGTAAGATCCTGAGGTCACTCTAAAATATTGCCTGGGAAAACTTTTGGAAAATATTGTAATTCCCTTTCTGCTGTACTGAGAAGAATATTATGGTATAAACAATATGCTATATTTTGAAGTCCTCATTCAAGCAAAGCTACTGTTGACTGAATGGTTTCTGAGTAAAAATTAGTATAAACTGTGTAAGGACTTCAGAATTTGGCCAAGTGTGTATTACATGGGCACATTTATGAATTCTTATCTTTGACAAGAATATTGATGGCAATATTTCATAATTGGAGCTTGCTGCTATTTGTGAACAGAGATGAAGACAGCAAAGAGCTGTCAATCATGGAAGTCAAGTACCCCACAAGCCCAGCTCCTGACTCCAGTTCCTCAGACAGGCAGGCAGTTTCAGAGCTCATGCTACTGTGGCCAATTCCCCCCTCTGCCACTACCTTTCTCCAGTTCTAATGGCTCTGCATCATGCTCTAGGCCCTCCTCCATCGCATTAGAAGCTTTTGGTTCTAGATCTGTCCCTACTGGCTCCCTTCTCTCCATTCACTCTCCTGACCTTCGTGCTTTAGACAGAGGTTTACCCTCCATAAAAAAAAATGAATTTTTTCCAAAAGAAAAATTTCCCCAGTCTGGATTTTTGAATCTTTGTTCTTCTCCTCTTAGCAGGATGATACATAAGATCAAAGCCACTGGGGTGGGGGAAGAAACATACTTTAGTGTTGCCTTCCCTTTTTTGCCCCTGAAATTTGTCCCATGAAGAGGGTGAGTTATCCAAACCAGAATCTGTTAAATCTGACGGACACTCAGGAGATGTTTTTTCGAGTAGAATTTGAGGCCACTACTCTGTTAAAGTAGTTTGTTGTTGGCCTCCAGGCTGAGCCAGCCAAGCCAATTAGAAATTACCTCCCCAGAGACCTCCAGAAGGAATTGGTGATTCTTCCTGATGAGGTAGTAAGACACTAACCTCAACAAGTAGAAGTTTCCCAGCAATCAGAAAAGTCTTAATAGAGATGTCCTAAAATGTTATTAAAAGCGATATTTTAAAAAATGTGTGTCTAAACTTAGGCTTCTACCAGCAAGTCTACATTCAACTACCTCAATAAGTGGTATTACTTTTGCAAGTGTTGAGTACCCAGATCTGCTGTCTTTAGAGCTGCATTATGCACGGGAACAACACAAAATAGGAGTACTGGACCAGGATATGGTTGATTGTGCTTTTTTTTTTGGTTTGTGAGCTATTTGTAATGGTAGTAAGGCAGAAACCTCCCTGTAACACCGGCAAAAGCAGTTTAAGGGGAAACTCTCCTAATCTAAGGCCAGACAGTGGAGCAGATCCACTAGAGTGGGGGAGCTCTCATGGGGATTTCACCTCAGATCCCAATCAAATCTATGAAAGATTCCCAGGATTTGGACCATAGTCTCCTGGGCCAGAGGACAGGTATCTGGCTAAGCATATCAGGGACAGATGGGTACAGGAGATACTCTGCTGAGGTCACTCCATACTAACACTTCATCCAAATCAAATATAAGAAAATTTGGTATTGTAGTTAAGGTCCTGGACTGTAAATCAGGAGATCTGAGTTCAATCCCAGCTGCCTCACAGATATTTAAACTTTCTGTGTCATAGTTGCCCATTCATTTTTCCTTTTCTTCTACCCTTTGTCTTGACTATTCAGATTAAAAGCTCTCCAAACCAGGGATATTTTATTATTATGCGCATATGTAACACCTAACACAATGGCACCTGATATCAGTTAGCTACTGGAATACCACAATAATAATTATTATAATAAATAAAATAACAGCAAACTCCACAGGCCCCCTAAGAACAACAACATGAGCAGTGTTCTCCAACAGATAGGAATCAGAAAGCCAGTACTTCTTTCATGGAGATTCGTACGAGTATGTACTCTCTTATAGGCGTTGGAGGTCCACAATAAGAACTGGGGACTTTGAGCTATACAAGCCCTTCAGATCATTAAACGAGCACCAGGAAGACAAATTTAGGATGGAAACCCTGGCATCCACATTAGCATCTCTTTCCACCAGGGATTGCCTTACACTGACAGATCTTGTGGATGTTTTTATTGTCCACATCCCTTTTTGTCCCTGCCTTCATTGTTATGAAAGTTAATTTAATTTGTGTTACCAAAATCAATAGTACTAGGACAAAATTCTTCCTTTTGGTCTCTAACCTTCTTTCTAAATGTTCATGGAAATCCTGGTGCTGACTATCTCCTTTTTCATGTTTGGACATCTTATGTGCAAGAGTCCAGCAAGCTGCCCAGATGGTCATTATGAAGTTCTAAAACCATGAGTATGATCAATGTGAATGGGAAGAGCCTGGTCCCCAACCAGTGGTCAGGGCAGGAAAGAACTCAGAGTGTAATAAATCTGCTAGAGTTAAGAACAATCAGATTAGCTCTTGTGGAATTTCAGCCTGTATTGTCAGGCCGCTAAATACTAGTCACATCAAATATAAGCTACAATGGCTTATCTGAACAGATGTTCCTAGTTCAACAGGAAAGAAGTGCTCTTTTTTTCAGTGGTCTTGGCATGACATTCCTCCTGTTATTGCAATGCACTAGCATGGACAAAGCATATATCAGCAATACACCAGGAGTGGAGTGTCACTGAGAAGATGTTTTAATCTTTTAGTGGACAGAACTATTAGCTGGAACTTGACATCCCTGAGCTAGAAAGAAGTCAAAAGTGCAAAATTGCTTCATCAGATAAAGGAATTCACACATGACGTAGGACCACCTGCTCAACGTCTTCCTTCCCCTTCACCATCCTGAGGAAATCTGTGCAAAACATCAGTGAGAAGAAATGGCAGTAATACCATGTCACAACCGGGACATGGGAGATCTGACCTAGTGGTCTGAGCAGGAGTCAGGACCCAGGTCAGGTCAGATACCAGGAGATCAGAGTCTAAGATATGCCCGAGGGCAAACCGAGAATCAGATATCAGGAGGCAGACAGGGTGAGGTTACCAGGAGATCAGAGTCAGACAGTAGGAGCAAGTAGTGAAAGGGATGCAGTCCTAAGCAGGAGAAACCCCAATGCATGGACAATTTCCTGTTCCTGTGCTTTATTTAAATAGAAGCAGGGAACCAGTCAAGACCCCAGAGTTCCAACAGTTAGATCCCAGTAGTGGAGTCCTATCAGAGTTGAGCTTCTAGTTCTGGGTCATAGGATGACAGGTGTGAATTAACTGGCTCCTAAGAGCTCTGTGAGGCAAAGCTTGATTTGGGAAGTGATTAAAGTCCAAGATCTCTCTGGTAGCATTCTCTGAAATGCTTCAGTTCTTCTCTGAGTGCTTGTTCATGTCCATTCCACGTTAGGTGTGTGCGCACTGCTTGCCCCATTGCCAGAGATTTTTCCCTCTGTAGTATAGCCTGAGTAATTTCTCACTTTGTCTTTAGAATATCATGGGGGAAGTGAAAATAACATCCCATTAACTGAGCTGGAGGAAAGAATAAAAAACGTCCTTATCCTCAGAATACAGTTGGACATTAAAATCTCCCAAAAGAGCAAAGATTTCTGTTAGAAATATTCTCAATTAACAGGTCAATAAAAGATTCAGGCTCTGCCCATAAAGATTCATTTTAGAAAGTAAAGCGCAAAGTGGGAAATTAAACATTAATGGTAATAGAATAGATTTATCTGGGAAAACAATACTATAGGCCTACAAATACGGTTACCAGGTGTTAACATTCAAGTTATAACACTTAACTTAGTAGAAGCAAGAAGGGCCAGTCTTTCTCTCTTTACATGTGCAACACCCCCTTTTAAAAAGGATTGAAAGTTCTGTAGATATAAGGACTCATCCTTTGAAAGTCAGGTTTCTTGGAGGAAAACTAAATGAAACAGATACATTATTCCCAACATCCAAATCCTAGGATTTACGTTTAAGGCTATCAGTATTACATTAAATACTTTTGATAGAGGTTTTGTTATCAGGCCCATCTAGTCAATCCACCTCCCTTTCTAGGGCTTCAGTAGAAAAATTGCCATGAAAAACTGCACCATTAGCTTTGTGATTAGACCTAATTCTCCCAGGATTGTGATCTTCGACCCTCTAGATGGTTCATAGATCCTGAACAACAGGGTCTGAGGCCAGCTGTTTGGTAAAAAATGGGATATAGCCCAACTGGTTTTGCTTGGGTGACCCGATCATTTATTTTGTTGTTAAAAGGAACAGAAATGATTTCTAGATTGTATCCTTTTGACCTTTTCTATCAGATGGCCTCTCCAGCTAAGAAGAGCTCTCAAAATCTGGATTTTCTTAACTGCCTACAAGTCTTTCAACTCTACCTCTCCTCTTTCTTGAGAACCAAAATTAGAGACCCTTGTTATCTTTAAAATCTGGTTTCTGGGTAGAGAATAAAACACTGCTTGTTCCAATAACACACACAGATGGTGTTGCGAACAGACCTTGACTCAGCCTTCTCCCTAGAGACATTTTTAAAAACCAGGGCCACAAACCAAAAGTGCTTAGAATTTCTTAGTGTTAGATCAGGGGTATTTTAAATTAAAACAGGTTGAGAGGATGAAGCAATGTGTGGAGACTCATGCGGCTGCTTACTAACTTCAGAGATACAGAAGGAAGAGAGTTGCCATCACAATTGGAGCTGTACCAGGCTCAGTATTGATGAACATAGGTCCAACGCCAGCATTATCTAGGTGTTCTGGAACAGAGAGGGTGCCAAATATCCTGCTTGGGTTAGTAGATACTAATGAGGGCACCTTGGGGAAATAGTTCTCTTAGAATTGTTGGACTCTTGCCAAACATGCCATAATCACTGCATACCCAGCATAACCTTGAAATCAAATAAAGATTCTTTTATTTCTGAAATATCTTTAAGCGACATATCT